TGTTTTGTCCTGGGTGATTCACTTGTGATGACCAGGGCAGCAATAGCCCGTTCAGGAGGGCAAATGTCTCTTAGGCTCTCAGTCTCCATGGATCACTCTTCTTTTTAAATATTTTGTTTTCCATGGTGACTCACGCCTGTAATCCCAGCACTTTGGGAGGCCAAAGCGGGTGGATCACCTGACGTCAGGAATTCAAGACCAGCCTCACCAACATGGTGATACCCTGTCTCTACTAAAAATACAAAATTAGCTGGGCATGGTGATGTGTGCCTGTAATCCCAGTTACTCAGGAGGCTGAGGCAGGAGAATCACTTGAACCCAAGAGGCAGAGGTTGCAGTCCGCTGAGATTGCACCACTGTACTCCAGCCTGGGCGAAAGAGCAAAACTCCGTCTCAAAAAAAAAAAAATTTTTTTTTTTTTTTTTTTTAGAGAGGCAAGCCATTGTCTTTAAGGAAAATTTAGAAAAAGAGTAGAAAGATAGAGTAGAAGGAAATCACCTGTAGCCCCACCAGGTAAACAGGACAACTAATATTTTGATGTATTTCCTTCAAATAGCCATTGTATTTATACTGCACTGACAAATTACCATAGGCAAAATCTTCAAAGCTAATCCCCTACCCCTAATCTATATCATCAAGAATCCTACTTTGGGCAAAAAAAACCTTGATGGTTTAGTTTGTGTCTGGCACCCATGAGTGTGGACAGGTTTAGACCCCAGCAGGTCATGGGCTCCAGGAGTGCCCACCAAGCAGGGGGCCCTCATAATGACCACACTGGACCTGAGGGACGGGACAGCCAGGCTGCGGGTCCGCACCATCACTCCCACCAGCTTTATTATTTTACCTTTCACATTGAGGTCTGATCTGTCCGCATAATTTTGGGGTATGAGATGAGCTCATTCTTCCAGGTTCATTTTTTCCATGCAGATATTGAATTACTTCAGCTACATTTATTAAAAAGATCATCCATTCCCCCAGCATGTTCCAGGGTCACCTTTGTCATCCATCAAGTGACGTCATAAGAGTGGGTCTATTTTTGAATTCTCTCTTCTGTTCCATTGGTTCATTTGTCAATCTTTTTGCCAATTCCATACTAAATTATTGTAGCTTTATAATAAATCTTGGTATCTATTTAGTATAATTCTCCAACTTTGTTCGTTAAGATTGTCTTGGCTATTCCTGGTTCCGTTTCTCTATGAATTTTAGAATCAGTTTATCAATTTCTACCAAAGGAAGCATGCTGAGATTCTGTGTGAGACGGAAGTAAATCTGCAGGTTAACTTGGGAATAATTGACATCTTTATAGTATTGACCTTCTAATCTATGAACATTCTTTAATATCTTTAATAATGTTTTGTATTTTCCAATATAAGGACTCTGTATATCTTTTCGTTAGATTCTAGATATTTTGTATTTTTAATGTAAAATGGCATCTTTTTAAAAACTTCATGTTGTTACTGGTATGTAGAAATCCAGCTGATTTTTAAAAAGGTTGACCTTGAATCAGGGACCTTTTAAATTCACTCCCCAGTAGTTTTACGTAGATTCTCCTGCATTTTCTACTTACACAGTCAAGCTGCTTCACGCAGTGTTGGCCTCACCAGATTTCAGATAAGTCCGAGCGGCCTCCCTTTAGGTGGTTGATTTTGCAGGGCTAAATGATGGCCTCTGGTTTCTAAAGCGTTACTCCCTAGCACCACCCCTGCCCCCGCCCCGAGCCTGAGCTCAGCTGATTGCCTCTGCCAACTCCCACCCTCACCACCACCCCACCTGGCCCCAGAACAGCCTTGGGGGTCCTTCTTTCTCCTTTGGCCTCCCTGCTGCCTCTAGAAAGAACTTGTTCTGGAATGGCTCGCTGTCAGAGTGGACTCAGGAGAGGAACCCAGAGTCACTGGGACCATTTCCTCAAGATGCCCTCCCTGGGCATTCCTGCAGCAAAAGCTGAGCACTTGGCTGGGGCAGGGGAGTTGGAGAGAGGGGTGTTCTATGTTGGGGGGATTAGCCAGCTCTTCTTCAGCTGCAGTCTATGTCCCTGCACCTCCAGAAGACTTCACAGAGCTAGGGAGGAGGATGAAACAGGCAGCTCAACTCATCCAGGGATAGAGAGTATGTTCAAGAGACTGGGGGCGTAGACCTGCTGAATAGAGATTCTTCTGTAGCAGAAGGCAAAGGCCGTAATCCCAGTACTTTGAGAGGCTTAGGTGGATCATTTGAGGTCAGGAGTTTGAGACCAGCCTGGTCAAGATGGTAAAACCCTGTCTCTACTAAAAATACAAAAATTAGTCGGGCCTGGTGGTGGGCGCCTGTAATCTCAGCTACTTGGGAGGCTGAGGCAGAGAACTGCTTGAACACAGGAGGCAGAGATTGCAGTAAGCCACGATCATGTCACTGCACTCCAGCCTGGGCAACAGTGAGACTCCATCTCAAAAAAAAAATTAGCCAGGTATGATGGTGGGTGCCTGTAATCCCAGCTACTCAGGAGGCTGAGGCAAGAGAATCATTTAAACCTGGGAGGTGGAGGTTGCAGTAAGCCAAGATGGTGCCAGTGCACTCCAGCCTGGGCGATGGGGTGGCAAGACTCCGTTTCAAAAAAAAAGGCAGAAGCCAGGAGGGAGAACGACAAATTTTACCAAGCCATGATATAGATATGGCGAGGTCCCCAGGTCCCAGACCCCTGAAAGCTGGCATGACCCCTTTAACTGGTAAGTCTGAGCAAAAAGTGGTTTAGTGTTATTCCCAGACTTGTATCTGACCAAGTGCCAGTGTCTGGAGGGCCTGAGCTTCAAGACAGAGATGCAGAAAGGTACCATCACGAGAGGAACAGCCATCATATGTGGGAACTCTGCTTACTTCACACACCCGAAACCCTATAAGCTGTCTTTCATTAGCCCCACTGGCTTGGATCATTTCGGTAACTTGTTTAAAGTCTCTCCAAATTAGTGGGACCCTCCCTGAAAGTCACCTGCAACTCACACAGATTATTTTATTCCAAAGTGCTTGGTCTGTAAGGGTCCCACATGCATGGCTCTGCCCCTAGGGAGTGTTTGGTGGACTCCCAAAGCTGAAGGCACAGAAGCATGGCTGACACTGAGATGCGGCATGGGTGCAGATGGAGTCATGCATGGAGAACTCCCAGTGGGGAACCACTGGCCATCCAGGGCCCCTGCCTTTCTGCCAGCTGCCTCCCAGGTCTCTGACCTCCTTCAGAGCCTGCCAAAATGCCTAGAAAAATGCTGTTTCCAGAGCAGGAGCCAAAAGAGACCATGATGGCCTGTACTCCAGATCTTCGGGTGGATGAGTAGTCCAAGTGTTCAATCTAAGAATCATGTTTCAATTTGTTTATTGAAGCCTGGAAGTGACCTTTTCAGGTGACATAAGAACCCAGGGAGATGTTTTGAGCTTCTTCAGATTCAAAAGCGTTCAAGCGGCAGCCCTGGCCCTGTCTGCCATCAACCTGTGATCTCAGGCCCTGGGCTCCCCAGAAAGAGAAACTAGAGCAGCTCTTTGGAAGTGTCCCTTCCCTTCCCAGGCTCCCAGTGCCCCCCCCCCACTCAGATCTCGCCATGCTATCCATTGCAAGCCTGTGTCAATTCTGTGGATGGAGCTCAGCATGACCTTAGGCAAAGCCAGAATCAGCAAGGCAGAGGATACAGGCTTGATTGCAGGTTATGGTTTTTTTGGGTTTTTTTTTTTTTTTTTTTTTTTTTTTTTTTTTTTTTT